GATACCATCTCACCCCAACATTACTGGCACAAATAAAAATAAATAAATAAAAAATGTTGGAGAGGCTGTGGGGAGCTTGGAACTCTTATGCACTACTGGTGGGAATGTAAAATGGTACAAACACTATAGAAAATGACACAACGCTTCTTTAAAAAGCTAGAAATAGAAATACGATACAATCCAGCAACCCCACTCCTAGAAATATATCTTAGAGAAATAAGAGCCTTCACGCAAATAAACATATGCACACCCATATTCATTTCAGCATTATTCACAATAGCAAAAAGATGGAAACAACCTAAATGCCCATCAAGAGATGAATGGATAAACAAACTATGGTATATACACACAATGAAATACTATACAGCAATAAAGAACAAAGATGAATCTGCAAAACATCTCACAACATAGATGGATCTGGAAGGCATTATGCTGGGTGAAATAAGTCAATCACAAAAGGACAAATACTGTCTGAGACCACTATTATAAAAACTCATGAAAAGGTTTACACACAGAAAGAAACAATCTTTGATGCTTAGGAGGGAGGGGAGGGGTGGGGAAGGAAAAACTCTAGCTAGACAATAGATAAGTGATAACTTTGGTGAAGGGTAAGACAGTACACAACACTGGGGAAGTCAGCACAACTTGACCAAGGCAAGGTCATGGAAGCTTCACGGACACATTCAAACTCCCTGAGGGACCTAATTACTGGGCTGCGGTCTGGGGACCATGGTCTTGGGAGACATCTAGCTCAACTGACATAACAGTTTATAAAGAAAATGTTCTACATCCTACTTTGGTGGGTAGCATCTGGGGTCTCAAAAGCCTGTGAGCAACCATCTAAGATACTCCAGTGGTCCCAATTCGTTTGGAGAAAGGGAGAATGAAGAAAACCAAAGACACATGGAAAGATTAGTCCAAAGGACTAATGGACCACAACTACTATAGCCTCCACCAGACAGAGTCCAGCACGACCAGATGGTGTCCAACTACCACCACCGACTGCTTTGACAGGGATCATAATAGAGGGTCCCAGACAGAGCTGGAGATAAATGTAGAACAAAATTCTAACTCACAAAAAAAAATCAGACTTAGTGGTTTGACAGAGACTGGAGAAACCCTCAGAGTACGTCCCGTGCACACTCGTTTAACTCAGTTCAGCCAAATACTAGACATGCCCATAAAGCAAAACGAGATTACATGGACATACTAACCCAGTGCCAAGGACGAGAAGGCAAGAGGGGACAGGAAAGCTGGTAATGGCAAACCCAAGATCAAGAAGGGGAGAGTGTTGACATGTCATGGGGTTGACAACCCATGTTGAAAAACAGTATCTTTATTGTTTAATGAGAAACTAATTTTCTCTGTAAACCTTCACCTAAAGTACAATTTTAAAAAATGATAAAATAAAAAAAGTTTCTAGACACTGAAAAAAAATTTTTTTTTAAACTCAATAAAGACACTGATTGGTGAGGAAAGCTCTATGGCAAAATCTATTCTGGATCTAAACTTCAACTAAAAGACTATTTTTATCTTATTCAGTTTTCCTCTATAAACCACACAGACTTTTGGAAGGCAATGAACAAAGCAAGTAAACAGGAACTCTGGACTCCTTTATTATTTCAGTTTTTTAAAGTCCATCCCATGGTAAAACTTCTAGGCACAAAAAAAAAAATGTGTCATAAAGATAAACTTGTGTATAAAATCAGATTTTTTAAATGGGCATTAGAGAAAACAACACATAGAAACTAACTGGGCAAAATGGGCATTTTCTAGTCAGACAACCTGGACGTTTATATATTCTGAAAGTATAATGGTCAAGGTTTGAAAACAAACCTTGTCTTCTCTAGGTGTCCACAATGAATTAAACAATGGGGAAGTGAACATACTGTACACTTGTCTGGGTCATGAGTATGAGGTGATAAATACCACTCACTCAGTCAGTAAGTTAAACTACACTATTATTTTGTAAAGTTAATTTTTAGAAAACATAGCATCTGCTCTCTACTGGTACAAATAATTCACTAGCACTTTTTTCTAACAGTAACTATTTCCAAAAATTATTTTAGAAGAGGCTTTGGACAATATGCTGAATAAACAAAATATTATACCAAGATGTAGTGAATACACATGGACACACTCAATGCTTGTTTATGACTGAATGAATGGTTTACATTTATGACTGAATAAATTACACACATTATAAATATACTGTGTTAGAAATATACTGTCTAGTGAAATAAGTCCTAGAGGAAGAGCCAGAAGACTTGCTTATATTCTTGACTCCATAAACATCATGCTGTAGCATCTGAGCCAAGTCATTTCATGCCTTATTAACTCTGCATGTAAAATGAGGGATAATAATATCTGCCTTTACCTAGCTTATGCTAAAACAACAACTGTAAAAACAAAGCTGTAGGACAAAGATGTTATAGATATATATATTGGATTTCAACTTCTTTACCTAAAGAAAAATCTTAAAACTAAAGATTTATTGACCTTGAAGAGGACAGAATGGTACAGAAGAAAGAGCATGGCTTTTAGAATAAGACAATCCAGACTTCCCTAACTACTAGACTTGTGACCTTGGACAATCTATATAATCTCTCTAACCTTAGTTTCCTCATCTGTAAAATATGAACACTTACATATTATAATGTAAATGAGTATTACATTAATACTCATTAGTGAGTATTGAGTATTGTAAACAAGGGTTGTAATAAGTATTAAATGAAGAAAAACATGTCAACTGCCTAGCACAGTGCCTGATACTTTATGGCTATAATGAAAACCAGATTCCCACTTTTGAATTCACAAACAAAATCTGATTTCAAAAACAGGTATAAAGCACAAGGAAAATGGATATTCCCCCTCCAAAAATGATTTATATTTTTTTAAAATACTCCTTTAAATGGTCTATAAATTAAAATTTTTTATCAACTCTAATCAAAGGAATTAAGTATCAACATATCTAACAGTGCTGTGGGTATGTAATTATTTCCTATCAAAAAGTTCATCATCCCATGAGTATATTATACAACACAATCATTTCTTTAAACTTGGTATCTGGCACCTCTTTCCACTGTTAGGGAATAAACTGACAAATTAAGAGTCAGTTGTAAACACAGACTATATTCAATTTTACTGCAAAAATCAAACATACAAAGATCCTTCTAACTGCCTGCATATACCATTTCCACTTCCAGTGTTAAGCTTGTCAGATAGTACAAAGAGTCCACTTTTATTTTCCTCTGGTCAACAGACACCCAAGAGGAATTTTCAGCTATGTCAAATCCATAGTGATTTCAAAGCTAAACAATAAAAGGTAGGAAGGAAAATAGTTGAAGAATATTACTAAATACAATTGGTTTTCTTATGTGGACACATGATTCATTCCTTTAAAATAAGCAAACGAAATAAAAACCCCACTCTGGTTAAAGTTAAACCCCAAATATTATTATAGTAATCTTATTAGAAATCAATTCAGTACTGAATTTTTAGTTAAAAACAAAAATTAAGCAAAGAGTATCACCTGTGACAGGAGAGATGGGTCATTTCAGGAAGAAGGAATTTCTACAGTTCACCCATAGCAAATACTATTAACTGTAAGATATATCCAACATATACTCAGAACCAAGCAGCTGAGCCCACGAGAGTTTAGCATAGTAAAAATTTTGGCACAAAAAATGGCAATGACATTTACTCGAGAATAAAACTGGAGCCATATTTAGCAGTCCAAAACTTTCTAAACCAAGGAGGGAAAAAAGGCCACAACAGAAGTTCCTATAATCACTGGGTTTGCTTTTCTAGACAAGGATTTCAATAGAATTAAATGGTTTTGAAACTGATGTCCCTCCCTAACCCCTTGAAATAAGTTGGTAGAAACTCTGGAAATCAGCCACATTTACTCTGGATGAAATTCTTTCTGACAATTAAAAAAAGGGGATGGGGATGATAGGTCTGTTGATCACTGATTTCACCTGAAAACCATAAGGGTGATATAAGTACCACAGAAACTTTTGCTTCCACCCTGAAAATACAGTTTCCTGTAAAATACAGGACATTTTGCAGTTCATGGTGAATATTTTGATGTTTATGCCATAGCACTTTCCTTCCTCTCTGAAACAACCTCATTCCTAGTCTGCTGTTTCTGTTTGCCTCATCTGCACTTAACAGATTATGCTTCAGTGACTTAGAAATCCCAGCTACCAAAATTCAAGCCAAAGTTTGAATTGAGAGGGGAAGAAGAAAAAAAAAAAATCAAGCAATTAAACTATGCTTGGAAGGGCGTATGGTTTCACCTACTATGACTTTATAGTGTGTTCTTTTAATCCAGAACCAGAGTCTCCTATTTTAAGGAGAAAAAAAGTTATAAATTTATTTTTAACTTAAAACATTATTTTGTAACTATTATGGTTCTCTGGGCACCATCTTCTAATTTTACCTGCTGGCAATAACACAAAACCACTAAGACCATTCCACATGTTAACACTGTATTCTTCAGGTGAAATAGTTCAGAGCTCTGTGAAGTTTTATTACGAACTTACTCAAATTGTCACAAGCTATCATCTACTTAATTTATAAACCAAAATGGAGAAAAAAGACTGTAGCAAGTTTGGAGATAAAGCCTGTAGAGTCAGATGATAACCATACTCTGAGGCTATTGAATCATCGAGCCATATCTCATCTTCTCAATGCCAAAAATTTAAAGAACTCAATTCTTTCCATCTTATAAATCAGAAGATGACTTTGAAAACCTCTCTTTTAAAAAATAATAATAAAACCATCTTAAAAGATGGTATTACCCAATATGAAATAAAGTTATAGTTATAAGTTGAAGATTTTAGAGAATTAATATAACTAATTAAAATATCTGAAAGAACAATAACCAAAAATATACCAAAAATCAAATGTCCTAGTAAATGAAACAAAAGATAATTAACAATTTTATTTTTGCTCTGTTAAATTCTCATCTTACCATTAAGCACCTTATAACATACCTTTGTAGAATGCCATTTTCCTGGGGTATTACACCATTGATAGCTGCCTGCAAACAAAAACCAGAGAAGTCCATTTAAAGGAAAAGAAAAATGTTTAGGGGCAGAGGGGGGACAGGTGGACGGGACACTGTAAAGGGTAATAAGTATATTTTAAAAAACTTGTTTAAACAAAATAGTAAATGTTTCCTTAATGGTGCAAGATATTCTCTATATAAACACTGCTCTACTTTTTAATAATAAAACCATATTTTAGGAGGTTAAAAAACATGCATTTGGCATTTAATATCCCTAAACCTTACATCATTAAAAGCTTAATTCCATAGTCCTCACTGAAGCAAGGCATCCTCAAAACCAACGCTTAACGATATCAGAACAAGTGTACCTTAAAGTTATCTTTTTATCCTTATTTCCTTCCCCAGAGCAAGATTTAAATCACAAATGAAAACCTCCACGATAAAGCAAAAATTAGCCCAAGAATTAAATACATTATTTCATGTTATAATCATTGTTCTTAAAAATAACACTGAGAAGGAAAGAATGTCGAGGCAAAAGTTCTTTGATAAACATAACACCACAACTATTTTTTAAAAAAACAACGTTGCAGTCAAGTCGATTTCAACTCATAGCGACCCTATAGGACAGAGCAGAACTGCCCCATAGGGCTTCCAAGGAGCAGTTGGTGGATTCAAACTGCCGACCTTTTGGTCAGCAGCCAAGCTCTTAACCACTGCACCACCACAACTATATCAGGTTATAAAAGGGAGGAAAGAACATCACCAGAGAAGTTTCCTTAAGTAAAACATTCCTGAAATTCACCTATAAACTAACATGTCACCAAGTACCCAGAACAGCACACAGGTGCAACATGGATGTTTTTGAAAGCTACTAAGCAAGCAGGCTGTCACGGCCTGGGCTGTGGGGAGCTCACTGCAGAGTAATAGAGAAGATTCTCTGAAAGAAAAAGTGTGACCATTTCAACTTTGCCTTTATACCACAACAACTTCTCCTTCCCTCCCCTTCCCCATCCACATCAAAATGAGAAGAAAAAATAAAAAAGGTAACACTTCTTTGTTTTATCAGCTGCCTGGCAATCAACTGCCAAAAGGAGTTTGTGTATTTTGTGAAACATTAACTTAAATATTTGCCAGAGGTAGGTCAAGTTTACCATGTTGTACTGCTGAATTGAAACAGATAAAATACTTGCTATGAATTTTGAGAGATGTAATGCTGCACTGGCAAAAACCAAAGAAATCCGGAGGTTAATATAGACAGTGCATATCATAGAACCCTGACAACACTGGAGGCTCATAAATGCTGAGTCAAGCAAATGCTAAAACAGGTTTTCAAAGCCACAAATTCCATGGCAGAATCTCTGCTAGTGCCAGATCAATTATCCCCTTTCTGTTGACAGCAACGGTTACATATACAAATACCTCCTTTGCTAAATAATAGTAAATGGTAAGAGAATATTCTATAATGCTAGAAAAGAAACAAAATTCCAAAGCTTGGAAAGATTTGGTTCAAATTTTAACTGGGGAACAGAATGGAAAGAACACTAAGGATTTAGAAAGTTCAGAATTTGAATATAGGTTCTGCCATTTATTAATTTGATGACTTTATATATTTATTGAACATCCTTAAGTCTCAGTTTCATCATCTGTATAAATGAGCTAATATTACACCCTTAGCTAAAGTGGGCCTTCTGTTCTGTTCCTCAGGGGCATCAAGTTGTTCTATTTAGGGCCTTGGAAGATAATTCTCTCCATTTGGAATGACTTTTCCCCTTCTCTGTCTGGCTAAATCCTAATGATCATAACTGAGGCTTCTGTTAGACATGCTTTTTGAAATAGTACTTCCCTGATCAATTTCCTATTTAGTTAGATTTACTCTCACATAGAACTCTGTACTCTTCTTTCATATTATAACTATGTATTTATTTGGGTAAGTATTTGTTTTATGTCTTTCTTTCTCATTAGACTTTAGTCTCCACAGGGGAAGAGATAACAATTTTGCTCACCACTTTAGTTGGCCCCATTGCCTAGTACCATGCTTTGTGCAGGCACTCAATAATTATTCGTTAAACGAGTGATGCTAGAAGAGTGCATCTGACCAAGTGGAGCCTACCTAACCAAGACTTCAGGAAAGCTTCCTGGATGAAATAATGTTTCAACTGAAACCAAAGGATGAGTGAAAATTAGCAAGACTGGAGGAGGAGGCCTGGGCATTCTATGCAGAAGGAACAGTGGCACACCTCTACTTACCAACTCTTTCAAGATCTCAGATCATTTTAACTACTGTATTTTTTTTTGGGTGGTGAATAGTTAGTTCCTGACCTCAAACTTATAAACTTTGTACGAATGTAAGTAAAATGTACAATAAAGGTGTAATTTTCTAAGACAATACAGACTAGGAAGAGATATTTTTGATGTGAGGATTAAGGAAAACTTGAGAAAAGAGGTGGCATTTGAGTTGGGGTTTGAACAATGGGTAGATACAGAAGCAAATGAAAATTGCTGATGAGTTGAATATTAAGCCTGTTAACTTTGAGTGATAGGAGGACATCATTTGTTCATTTAACAAATATGTATTAATTCGCATCTATGTGACAAGCACTGTGCTAGGCAATGGAGATACACTAATGAAAACAGCACAGCTTCCCTTCAGCAGGGACAAAATACACTCACCAACTAAAATTTACGAGAAGTTCTGATAGTATCGAAATGGAGATATGCAAAAAGTAATTTAAAAATGAGAAATAGGCTAAGAAAGGAATGTCTGTTTAAAGACAAATAACAGAAACCCTAGAAATATTTTTTTCTCTAACTCTTTAAGCTCTCTTCTTTGGTGAAGAAAAGTGGGACAAAGATACAATCCTGGGGAACACATATATGTCAGAAGAAAAAGAACTCTTAAAAAATTAACTCTTAAAAAATAGGAGAGTAAATATTAAGAATGTTTCACAGATGGGGCAAAAAAGGAACTATAAGGAGAAATTAGACAAAACTGAAAAATGTGAAAACATTATAATATATAGAGGCCTGAGAAGTGGTTATCAGACATATTTGAAAATGGTTTTATTAAGAACTAGATTATAAAAGACTAAGAAATAAAGAGGAAATCAGAAAGTGTATCTAACGCTTTTGAAACACTTAGTGTGAAAAGTATAGACAGAAACTTCAAGAAGAATGGAGGCTATAATTTTTTGTTTTTTGCTTTGTTTTCATTTTATTTGTAATAATGATTTCTTGAGCATATATGCAGCCCAGTGGAAAGGGAAACAATATAAGATTTAAGAAATAGGGGTAAATTTGAAAGTCTGGTTCAACACACTCTCACCAAATGCCTATTCAATGCCAGCAACTACGCTAGACTTTGGGAATGCCTGGTGCTTGATCTACGGCTCAGCGGAGCACAGAGACAGGAGATTCTTTTGGAAAAGTGGGCAATAAAACCTGGCTTGCAGACTAAAATTGATACCGAACACTTATAAGAATTACGATATGGGGTCTTAAAAGCCTGTGAGCAGCCATCTAAGATACTCCCCTGGTCTCATCCCTTCAGGAGCAAGGGAGAATGAAGAGAACAGGATACATGGAAAAGATTAGTCCGAAGGACTGATGGACCACAGCTACCAAGGCCTCCACCAGACTGAGTCCAGTACAGCTAGATGGTGTCTGGCTACCACCACTGACTGCTCTGACCAGGATCACAAGAGAGGGTTCTGGACAGAGCTGGAGAAGATGTAGAGCATAATTCTAACTCACAAAAAAAAAGACCAGATTTACTGGCCTAAAGGAGACTGGAGAAACCCCAAGAGTATGGCCCCCAGACACCCTTTTAGCTCAGTGGTGAAGTCATCTCCAAGGTTCACCGTTCAGCCTGGGAGTGGACAGCCCCATAAAACCAAATGGGACTAATGAGGCACAGCAGTCCAGGGACAAGGGCCAGAAGGCAGAAGGGGACAGGAAAGCTGGTGATAGGGAAAGGTTGAGTAAGGATAGTGTTGATGTGTTGTGAGGTTGTTAACCATTGTCATAGGGCAACATGTGTACTAACTGTTAAATGAGAAACTATTTTTCTCTGTAAACCTTCATCTAAAGTGAGAATAGCAGCACAACTGGAAGAACATAATCGATGTCACTGAAATGTGCATGTAGAAATTTTTGAAATGGTGTTTCTTTGGCTATGTATATTTTCACCAAAAAAAAGGTCGAGAAGGGAGAAGAAAAACCAGTGAAGCAGAGAGAGACAGAGAGAGAGATCTCAAGGAAATGGCTCACGTGGTTGTAGGGGCCAGCAAGTCCCAAGTCCATGGGTCAAGTGACAGGCTGGGGGGTTCTCCTGACTCACATAACTGCAGGGGCTGACAAACCCAAGATCAGCAGGTCAGATGGCAGGCCGCTGGCTCACGGACTGCAGAGGCTCACAAATCCAAGATCAGCAGGCAATACGGCAGGCAGCTGGCTCAAGTGCCAAGAACCAGAGGTCAGATGACGACGAGCCAGATGCAGGATTGGGAGCAAGCAAGTAAGCTTTGCTAGAAGCTCCATATATACATATACATATATACACACACACACACACATATATATACATATATATAATATTTATAGATAGATAGATAGATAGATAGATAGATAGATAGATAGATAGATAGATAGATAGATAGATAGATAAAATACAGGTCACACCCCCAAGGAAACTCCCTTTACAACTGATTGGCTGATCATATCACAACACATTGTGGATGATGACTACAGCATTACATAATTGCTAAATTACATTATTACATAACTGCCAAACCACTGAGAATCATGGCCCAACCAAGGTGACACACAACCTTAACCATCACATACATTAAGAAATTAGATAGATTAAATGGACAAACTCCTACAGACACACAAATTACCAACATGAAGAGAGAGAAAATATGTTATCTTGAAAAAAATTTGATAGTGACAATCACAAAAACACCCTACAAAACATCATTTCCCATAATCCATTGGAAGGCATATACATTATGTGTAAAGCATAGTGGAGGTCATGT